ATCATGGTTCTTTGTGAGTGCACAGTAGAAACAACAGAAGGAATGACAGATTTGTTCCCCATCTCATGAGGTGTCAGAGAGAGATGTGTCCTCTCACTACTGCTGTTTATTACTTACATAGATGGAATTACAAAGGAGGCAAATGAAGAAACACTAACGAAGAAACACTAAAGAAAAAATATAAACTTCTTGTAGCAGACCATCAGTGCATATAGAATTTACACAATACTGACTCCTTACATAAAACCTGCACAAAGTATGACATGAAAATAAACCCTGAGGTAATGAGAATATGCCAGGAAACATATAAACACCAACATTCATGTTGGCGGTACAACAATCAACCAAGTATAAGAATTAAAATATTTAGGAACAGTATTTATGGAGGATGGCAGACTCGATACCAAGGTAGAAGCCAGAGTACAGAAGGCAAATACTGTCACCTACCAGTTAGCCCCATTTAGACATCCAAATGCCTCCCTTCTAGCAAAACAGCAAATGATTACTAGCATCTTCATCCCTACTTTATGCTATCGGTGCCAAACATGAACAATTAGCAGGGCACCAGAACAGAAAATAACTATATGTGCTGTCTCCTGAAGGTCGTTACCAACAGAAAAATGGGAAGGGTTACAAACACCAGCATTAGAGAGAAAGTTGGAATAATACTGTGTTGGAATTATACTGACAAAGAATGTGCATATGTGACATTTTACAACATCTGGGAGGATAGCGAGGGAAAGACCAAGAAAGAGAAGGAAAAAATGGTGTTGCTGAAGCTTGCAAAAAGATAAACAAATCCACCATTCAATAAACCCAAGACATACAGAAAACCACAACAATGGACTGCTTTAATTTATGATTTGGATTGTCTACACAGCACTCCGGACATGTCCATAGGTGCTCAGATTCCTCCTTCAACATAAACATTAGCGTCTCGCGGTTGATAGTCCCAGTCCTATGTTGGTTGACAAGAATTCTCATGCGTCAGGTGTGCTTTTTGTGCTTGGCAGTGCCGATCCCAATTCTTGCACTCTTAGCAAAGATGTGGATGTGCTGCTCCAAAAATCCTTAGATCCTCCTACCTCTCTAATGGCATTAACAATGTCTGCATGAATTAAAAGTCGGCCCTCTGTAACTAAGGCAGAGCCGGCTAATCTGTCGGCTCTTTCATTGTCAACAAAACTTGCATATACTGGGACAAAGAGGTAGGTAAATCCAGTGATTCGATCCACCTGTGCGTACAAAGCCAGCCTTGACCTGCTTGATCATGCTCATGATCAGCATGCACAAGTGAGAATAGCGCTGCGATGCTAGCCACATCAAAGCTCTGGTTACCGCCATCACTTCCATTGTCATGCTGTTAGTAGTCAGAAAGGAGGCACCACTGGCCTCCTGGACTCTTCTGCCTGCAGAGTAAGCAGTAAAAACAATGGGCTACAACCTGGTGCGGCGGCCGCGGCTTAGGCGTTACGAGACCACACCGCGATCGAAAACCACTGCTGGCTGCGTGGATTTTTATCATGGTATATGGCATCACAGGTCGACGCAGCCTAAAATGGGTACCAGGACATATGTCCTGGGGAAGTAAATATGGCTGGGGTAATGATGACCACATTACCCACTGTCGCGTGCGAATGTGCACCAGAACGCACCGGTACGGAGTGAGCAAATAAGACGTCAAAACAATACGTAACGTTGTGAGGGGATTGTTGTAAAAGGCAGTTGATGTTTATAGTCCGAAGGAGACGGACGTGTGGATCCTTGAGGACGCTTTACCCCGGGATCCCACGGAAGCAAACGTTATATAAAGCTGGATCCTTGAGGACGTTTTACCCCGGGATTCCAAGATAAACCTCACCAGGAAGCTGGTGAACATTACATTCTCGGCAGTAAGCCAGTATACTTTCATTGCTTAATTCGGACTTGTCCGAGGACCAAGATAATCGTCTGGATCTCAAGGTCGGACTGTGACCTATCGTGAGGACACGTCAGTCTATGGATGTACGAGCGAGCTTTGGTTGAGCGAGTGTGAGTTGTTGCTTACATATTTTCTCATTGTGTCGATTATCGATATTGTCAATACACAAATGGAACTTTTAAAGAGAGTTCTCGTTCTGCTACGTTGGAAGCTTCAGCATTCATCATGTTGTGTTACTCTTGGCCAGTGGCATGTTAAGTGTTGATGCCTTTGATACATTGCGACACCCCTAGTCACTTTTACGCACGCTCGTCAAACCAATCAAGCCTACGCAACGTTAAGTTCAGCATGTCACGAAACACCGCACGTCACAATGAAGTTCAGCTCGTCGCAATGGAGGCCAGCCTTTAAAGAATGAGGGACCTCTTGTCACAAGTGTGATACGACATTTTGTCGCATTGTTTTGCCTCAAGTTGTACACGAAGCACATTCCAGTTGTCACAATCTTTACCAATCTCTAGCTGTGGATATCGTCCAAGTATCAAGTCGCCGCCGCCGGTCTGTTCTAGTTCTAGCCATCGTTAGATCTTTATCTGGACTTTATCAATCACTCTTCGTTGGATCTCTGTGCCACTCTTCGTTGGATCTTCATCGGGACCGTATCATTCTTCGTTCGTTGGATCTTCATCGGGACCGGATCACTCTTCGTTGGATCTCCGTATAACACTTCGCTGGATCTTCATCATAATCAAGTCACCGTTACTGACTGTGCCACTCTCCGGTGGATTGGAGTGGATCAAGTCGTCATTTTCGTTGTACATTGATCTGCCACTTGCCGTTGTACCGGTCGTTATTTAGCGATTTTTCATCGCTAACATTGCAGTGTGTTGTTTGTCTGCCACCCAATTGGTAAGTCAATTGTGGTTGTTGTGGTTTCTGTTGCGCTGACAATTTTAACTCTTTCTTCCAGAGAACAGACCTGGTTTCCCGTGCGCAAGTGGAGAGCGAGTGGCACATTAATTGTTACGTGTTATCAAGTAAGCGGGAGGTTGGGCGGTGAGAGCCTTATTCGATATTTCAACTAGCTCACCACTAGAGTGTCATATCGTCTTTGGCTCTGTCTGTAGCCAACTTCAACCCTCGGAGTGGTCCCCATTATAACAGGGAGATAGTTTATCTATTCGCGACTCGGTGGATTGATTTAGGCTAGAGTGTCTTAGTCCGGTCTCGTCACGTCCTGTACGTTTAGTTTGTAATAGTGCTACCTGGTGTTCTTTCGACGATTGTCCCTTCTCTATTTGTTAGTTCCATTGGTGTATTTGTGGAGTCATTTTTTTTAATTATCGTCTGTCAGACTCGTCGCATTGTACGTGTGTGACAGTACGCAGTATTCGTTGTCCTGTGGCGTCACTTCACCACACACTATCATATATATCATATATTGTATATTGATTGTCATATTACTTAAATATGTCTACATTTGCTGAGTTTTTGGAGTTAGGTCGAAGTATAGGCCTAGAAAATGGACAACTCTTAGCTTTCGCCGAAGCCAGAATGAAAGAGTTGTCGGACAGAGATAACCAGTTACGCGATGAGTGAACAGCGGAACGCGCCTGAAAAAAAGAAATGGAGTTGGAGAAATTACGCATGGAAAAAGAAGCTGAGGCTGAGAAACTACGCTGGGAAAAAAAAGCTATGGCGGAGAGACTGCGTTTCGAAATGGAGACTAATTTGGAAAGGTTACGTTTGGAGAACGAATTAGAACTAGTACTTAGGAATTTTTTTAGCAAAAACTAATGGTCGATGTTTGGTGCACTAGAGCCTAGCATATTAATACAGAACATCCAGCTTAAGAATGGAGGTGAAGGCAGTCACTACAGCTGCAGACTGGTTATAGAACATGACATACACACAAATCATAAATGTAACTCACTCAGAAAGGATGCAAAGGAAGGTGAGGACAGGCATGTTTAGTGCAGAGTGGCATGCTTCGCTTCAGGGGTCATGGTAGAGGAGCACTGTCTGGATCTTGGGAAATGAACAGATGGACAGATTAGCTGGGTCTGCCCAACTTGGCGGAATACTGATGCATGATAATGCAGATGTGTTTACGGCCTTGTGGGAGAACGTGTACAATTCAGAGGAGCAAATGGGTCACCACATTCTAGTGAGAGTGATGCAGCATGGAGTGATGAGAAGATCTGACCCATACTTGGTGCTCAGAGGAAAAACAAGACGAACATATAATCAGAATGCCACTGTTGGTATTCGAACTCTGCGCTTGCTGCTGAAAATGGAGACGGAGCACTTATGGGAATGCCCCAAGTACTGTAATGCAGGTTCTTAAATCAACTCAACTCAACTTATATATCTAGTCTACTTTATGCAGAATGCAAGGTTAAATCATAGAAGATTACTTACCACGAGTTACTTCATACAGACACAGTATAGCTGGTCACATGTGTAGTGATGTTGGGACATAAAGAGTTAACATGGAATTCAGTCAGAAATTCAATAAGCTTATGGACAGAAAAATACATGAGAAATATATAATGCAGTTCAAATATGTGATGATTCCTGTGACTGAACACAGGATTAATGCTGAAAGGCAACAGTGTGCAAATATTTTGGTAAAACACAGGGTATCAGACAGTTAACTATTAATGAAGGTGTCACTTAAAGTACGAAGTAGTTGCACAACAAAGAATGTAATCAGGAGAGCAATAATGTTTTAAAATGAGTGTTCTTGGACCAAAAATTATGTCATTACCATTTGAAGTCATGGAGAAAATGTCCTCAAAACTGAGAAACAACATGAAAGAAAGAAATATTACAAATCATACTGACTGACAACATATACCTTTTTACTAATTTAAATTGTTGAGATGACTGAAGGATGTTTTCTAAAACAGCAGTAATTAAATATTCAAACAAAGATTGATACATAAAAAAATGTCTTAAATAATAGCAATTAAAAACTATGGTTTTAAAATACACAATATTGAACATGTTCATCATTTTTTTTTTAAATTGGATAATATTTTTTCATAGATCTGTCTTGAAGTATACTTCTGCCTATCTATTCCTTAGTGTTCTTTACTTCTTTTTTCTTTGGCAGTGCACAGGCACCCTCATCACATGATGGAGTGTCAGTGGACGCATGAACATCCACATGGCCCTCTATGCGTAAAGCTCTCAGGACATCATTTGGATCTACGTGCTCACCTGGGGTCTCTTGTTTGAAAGACAGCAGAGCTTTTCCATCTATATAGCAAATATATATAATTTTACATATATTAAAAAGAATCATTTTAACATAACAATTCTTTGGATGTTATTAACTCTTTTAGTCCCAAGGAACACATCGTACGTTCATAGGGTACTACGCAGAAGCCCAATGAACGCAAGATGCGCTGATTTTACATTTCTTTTGACCACCCTTTGGGCCTCTGATGCTAAACCCCCGGGACTCAAAGAGTTAAGACATCCAAACATAAGTATGAATGCCAAGAAACAGATTATAAACAGCATTTTCATACCAACACTGTGCTACCAATGCCAAACTTGGACATTATCAAAATGACTAACATAGGTAAAATTAACACTGTCAAATGAGATGGCTGAGGAAAGCAACCAACTGAACTATCCTTGACAAAGTGAGAAATGATGCTGTTAGACTGTGGGAACAACACCATGCACCAAGATCAAATGGTTTGGTTATATTGTCAGCATCCAGCCACAACTACCACTAACACACACTATACACATGAAAAGGTCTGATGTGAAAGCAAGAGGTCACCGTAGGAGAACATGGACTGATGATATTTAAGACCTACATTGATACAGAATAACAATAGCGCCCATCAAGCAATGGATCGCATACTATTCCTCCCCACAACACTTAACAGACTAAATGGTAAATGGTGATGATTGACTAACAATTCTTGAAATTTTGTCAAACCTGACTTGGGAACCATAAGTACATTTTTCAAGCTGAACATCCTCAAAAAATATTATGGTCGATTTTCTCAAGTCACAAGAACAAGCGTTAAAAGACTTTCTCTTCTTATTAAAGTATATGCTGTGTGGCGTTAGTAGTCATATCTATCGACAACCTTCTGTCTCAGGTACTTTCAATCAACTTTGACACAGACGATCCTCCATGCCATGATTTTAAGCTGTCTATCATCTGTTCTCTCGGTCTCCCTCTGCCTCTCCTCCCCTCCAACTTTCCTTCTGGCATGATGTACTCCAGTTTTCTCCTTTTCAGCAAATAATGAATGTAGATTGTCTCTTTCTGATGTGGGCATTAGTTCTCTTTTTGAGTCAGTTTCTTTCACAACATCTTCATTTTAAAAATCTTTTTATCTGTCCAGGGTATTCTTATCATTCATCTATAAAACCACATCTCCACAGCTTCTGATTAGGTTTTCATTAATTTATCATTTGTCCACGATTCACTTCCATATATCAAGACAGGATATGTAAAGCTTTTAAGAATTCTCTTTCTTGTCTTAAATGACAAAGAAAGATTGCATAAAATATTCTTTATTTTGTAAAATGCTGCCTTTGCTTGAGCTATGCAACATATTAAATGTTGTATTCTTTAATACATCTTCCATCTGATGATATCAGGGTACCCAAGTTCTTAAACACATCAACTTGCTTGAGATTTGACCCACTTACTTTGATGTTGCATTCTGGAAGTTCAGTTTTCTTTGTAATTAACATTACATCAGTTTTTCTGCTTTTCAAACTAATATCCTTGTGTTCACTTTCCGTTACAATTAAATCCATCATTATGTTTTATTGTCAGCAATCAAAGCTATATGGTTAGCATATTGCAGGTTGTTAACTATATGCCCACCAACCGATATTCCTGGCATATAATGTTTGCATCTAATTATTATTTCACTGTACAAATTGAATAAATCAGGTGATAGTAAACATCCCTGTCTAACCTCTTGTTTTGAAAAGTTACAACTTACTTGTTGCCAGTATATGATTTTTAATTATTCTCAGATCTTTAGCATTCATGTTTAAGGTTTCCAAAATTCTTACAATTCCTTCACATTTCACTTTATCAAATGCTTTAGTGTAATCAATAAAGTGCAAATACAGATTTCGATTCATGTCAGTCATTCTTTCTGAAAATGTTCTCAAGATAAATATGGCATTGTTTGTGCCTTTGCTTTCAACAAAACCACACAGCTCATCTCCAATTCTCCCCCGTGTGGGTTCTGGGGCCCTATTGTGGGGAAAACAAGAATAGACCCACTGCCTCCCCAAAAAGCATGTCGTAAGAGTCGGCTAATTGGGAAGCTTCCTTTGAAGTCAGAGTGCATCTGCCGGAGAAGCAAGGAACCAACAGTCTGTATTTAAAAGAATGAAATCTGTAAAACTGATGCACAGGCAACACTCAGGTTCTGGAGCAGGACTGCAGTTCACTAGTGGACGAGCAACCAGAACCTTCTGCCAGAGTGTACAGCTGGTGAACGCGAAGAAGAAGAAGATCTCCAATTTCTGGTTTAATTTGGCACATGATTCTTCTCATGCCACTGGCATGTAAAGGAACCCTTACTCACTTTACTTTGTGAAAAAACGTAAGTAAAAAAAATTATTTAAGAACAAAGAATGACAATAATAATTACTTCAATAAAAAAATTCAGAGGTAAATAAATTCTACAGAAATAAGCAGAACAACAATGAAATGGTGTGGGACAATGGAACAAAACAAAATATAGAAATCTACCTTGCAGCATCAACACAAACAAAATATATACTTAAAACATTTGCAAAGAAAAAATACAACTTTGTAGTTAAAAACATAACTTATATACAAAATACTCACCCATGTTCACAACAAGTGCTCCGCCATTCTGCCATCCATCACCTGCAAAGTTCCCATCCACCTTGTTTTTCTTGGTCTAAGGATAACAGTTTCAGAATTAAGAAAAACTAATAAAAATTATCAAACGTCATCTACTGAAAAACTAAAATTAAATGTAACAAGTCGTTCATGCATCTTCATGGTGTGCTTCTAACACAACTGTCTTCTACTTACCAACTTAGACATGAACACAGAGTTTGCCAACAGATCATCATCACTGTAAATGAGAACTTTCTTCCCTCACTACATGTTTATGTGATAAAATTATGTCTGAATTTCTGTAGCAATCTGATCTCGTCTTCACCTTGATGATGTTCTAAATCACTGTCAGTATACTACCCCATTCTGTGATATTCTTGCCTTTGTTTTTCACTGTACTGAGCAGCATCACAGATAACTGTTAACTCTCAGGCATGCATGAATTTACTGTTGTTAGTTCAGAGGTTCAAATGCCGAATGTAAACAATACCTTTTACTGTAAGAGGGCAGCAAAGATAAATTATGGTGCAATAAACTGAAATTGATTTGAAGATGCTAAACCACTGAGTAACCCAAAAGAGCTCTGTTGTACACATCCTTAAAGTCTAGTGCAGCGACATGCAAATAACTCATAAATATCGTTGGTGTAATGGGGAATATTTTCACCCAGATTAGGGAGGTTGGGGGGAAGGCCCAAAGCTAACCCAAAACACAGAGATATTCCAAAAACTCGGGTTATTCACGTGCAACACTATGACGCGACCAAAGGTCGCCAAGTGGAAGTAAAGGACCGCCACATGTTGCCAGGTGAAATTAACCCGTGGTATAAGTTCAGACTTGATTCTGATCAAGTTTAGTTTGTGTCGACTTGTTGGAGTGAAAGGAGGGAGACTGAACGTAAGAATGACATCGTGAGATTGCTTGTTGCGAAAAGAGACCCTGACGACAAAGTGTGAAGTCAAGATCAACCAGGCCAGTCTGTGTAATGGCAAGAAGATCAACCTGATATATCGGAGCTGACTCTGGTCCGTGAATGCATGAGGAACCGGCTTGTTGAAGGCTGCGTGAATTGGTGTGCGAGAGCTGTTTATTAGGACAATGACTGGACACTGCTGTAAGTTGTAACATGTCAATTAACTAATGTTTAGTACGGCTAAGTCGGCGTCGGCTTGTACCAGTTACGTTAAGAGTGTGTGATAAGAACATTTACGACATACACATAAATACCCACTAGACTACGAGGAGATCATTGCAGTTGTCATATGTCATACATGACAGGCTTCCCGATTTTAAATACCCTTTAATTGTTGTGGCAATTATCTTTCCTAACAACTTGCCATTTTTATGGCGATTACTGCAAAATGCAGTGTATAAGTCTAGTTTTCAAGCCTAAAAATATCTTTCAAAAACTATGGGTCGTTATATAGCGGGTATAAATGTTGAATGTGGAATTAAGAATCGACATCACAGTAGTCGGGACACCACCATAAGCACTCCATTCTCATCTTTAACAGTAAGCAAAGAGTTCAAATTCCAAAGGCACCAGTAACTGTCTGATTTTATATCCCTCTTGCATTTCCCCTGAGTGTTGAGTGCCAGCCAGATCGCCTTGTAACTCCTTGCAGCGCCTTTCTCTCCAGACCGTAAATGATCCATCTGTGCCTCCACAATGTTTACTTGCTCCCAAAGGGCCCTCACAACGTCCAGCTTGTCATACAACTGTTCACTAAGTGGTGCAGAACCAGCCAGTCTAACTGCTTGCTCATTTCCTAATACACTGAAATAACCTGGAGAAAATATCCTAAGGATGTTAACTATCCGGGACCTCTGAAGTGATGTTTGCCACTCTGCATGGAGCATGCCTGTCTCCGCCTTTCTCAGCATGCTCTGTGAGTCAGTTACAATTACGACATGTGTGTACAGCTGATTTTCAAGCCAGCGGAAGGCAGCAGTGATTGTCTCCACCTCCATTCTCCAACTAGACATTGTGATATCATATGCCAGACTTTGTTGCACCAAGCGACGTCCATTCACCTTCATAACAATTGTTTCATTTAGATTTTTCATTTCATAGGAATTGTCCCAGGAGCTACAGAGCACATGTTCTGTGCTTGATTTCATCTTGAGCGAGCAGCAAAGAGAGAGTCCAGAGGAGTAAATGAAGAAATGGTGAGAGAAGAAAGCAGAGAAATAGAAGGGCAGGAGCCAGGAGATTTAGGCAATAATCAGAACAGGATTCAACCAAATTGTTGCAGTGCCAGACAGAGATGGATATTGAGAAGTTGATATAAGATTTTAATGTAGTCATGCTTTAAGAGCTGAATGCTATGTAAACCTAGCTGAACATAGGAGACATAAGCAGTGTCTGCTAGTGAAGGAGGGACTGAAACATGTGGTGCTTTACCTGATTCGGTGGAATCATGATGCTGTGGAGGTACAGGGAATACAGATGGAGATTGATAGCCCAAGCTGGAACATAATAAATATAAAGGCTCTATGGTTCATTAGTCACAAAGCAACAATGGGACTGGCTTATTGTAATGTTGTGAATTCCCGGGGAAATCCCAGAGAGTTCCCGATGGGGAGGAAAAGGTCGGAGGACCCGTGAGAGAAGAGAAAAACGGGATAAGTGGGTCTCGTGTGTCTCATGGTGAACGAAGTGAGGGACACAAGAAAAGCATGAGATGTGAACGGAAGACGTGAACCGAGAGACAGAAGTAAGACAGTTGAAGTTCGGCCCTGACTGAGAGAGGACGCATGAGTGGACGCCTGAGAAGAACAAATGATTTGTGAAGCGAATGTTATATTTCAATAGGAGGACTGAATGTTTTTTCCACACGTCGTAATGTCAGGTACCAGGGTTCGTGAAGGATAGATGGATGGTTCGAGAGACGCTGATGAATTCCTGTAGTGTGTGAGAAGTCAGACCAGGTCGCTAGATTCGGCCAAGCAAGACGAGCACGAGGAAGCGAGAATGTATGTATGCGATAACTGGCGATTCAACGAATAAAAGCAAGCAAATCAATATTCGTTCATGCTGTGTCATTTCAACTCACTGTTTGTCTGAAAGCAATGCAAATGAACACATACCCCTAGAAGAGCCTACATATTAAAAGTTGGGAGCTCGTCCGGGATAAAAACGACAGAAGACGGCCGGAACAGCCCAAAAACACAGCTGGTTGGACCAATTGAACTTGACAGCTGATAACAGAGCTGAAGAGTCAATGTAAGTGGCGTACTGTATCTAGGTCGATGTCCAGCTATCGTCTGAGGTAACAACAGTTGTTGGTCAAAAATTTATTTGTTCAGAACGAGCAACAACAGACATGGCCAGTGTAGTGACCAAAAACCCGGCAGGTTGGACCAGTTAAACTTCACAGCTCAAGAAGGGTTGCAGAGTTGACGTAAGTGGTGTACCGGGTCAAGGCTGCTGTACAGCCATCATCCGTGGTAACACCAGTTGCTGTGTCGAAATTTACCTGAAGAAAATGTGTAGAAATTTCAACGACAGTTTTACCGTGTAAGGATGGCCAAATTCGCCACTGGGTAACGTGTCGAAGTTAGTTATCGTTACAGTGTGATCGTAACAACTATACTGCGTATTGTTACAGTGTGATCGTAACAACTATACTGCATATTGTTACAGTGTGATCGTAACAACTATACTGCGTATTGTTACAGTGTGATCGTAATAACTATACTGTGTATTGCGACATAAAATTAGTCATTGATCAGCCCAGTGTTTGAAACAGTAGTTGCAGAAGACAACAGCCACCAAGTACAGTGATCACTAAACATGCTAACATAGCACAAGTGTGTTAAAACAAGGCATCTAGCTGATTGACATTGGTCAAGCGGACAGCTGACTATTATCCACATATCCGAGCTAACATACAGCTAGCGGAACAGTGCTATATGAACATCCGTAGCACAGTGTAGAACGGCCCACAAATATACATGCAGAACAGTTTCCTGTGAGATCCTTCAAGTCTTTAGAATAAACAGACAGTTTCCATGAAGTATTCAAATTGACGTCCAGGTTCAGCATATAGACGAGTGCCACGATTTTTCAAAAATTACACATCTACTTCCAGGATGAACCATAATATGAATTCGGACGGGTAGTGCCCAACTTATGAAGTGACATTAACAACCAGGAGATCCAATTGCTCTGCACAATCTACCAGAGATTTGTTCAATATATTGCCGTTACAGCCTATAAGTGTGTTATAGCGAAACGGCGGATCCTTAGAATAGACTGTGACTTAGCTCGATAGGAGCCATAGTAATTTTTTTTATTTTTATTTGAGTAATTAAGTTATTAATTTGATATTATTGTTCTGAGTAGATAGAGAACTATTCGGTTAAACATAGTGATTATATATCACATATTGATTTTGTTGGTTGTGATTGTATTGCTATTAGGTGTAATATTTTGTGAACGCATTTGTAATTGTCATATTTGTACAGGAATATTATATACCTCTACATGTCAAAAATGGCGGAATGGGTAGCCATTGGTAAAGAATTGGGCCTTCAAGGCGACGAATTAGGAAAATATGTGGATGAAAAACATAAAGAAAAGGTAGAAGAGGAAAAGAGAAGAGCAGCAGAAGAGAAAGAAGAACAATTGAGAAAAGCAGCAGAAGAACGAGAAGAATGCAGACTTGTGCGTGAACACGAACTACGTCTCAAAAAGAAAGAAGCAGTGAAAGAGGCTGAATTGAAACAGATGGAACTACTACAACAAAAGGAAAGTAAGGACAAAGAATTACTGTTACATAAAGAGATTGAGGAGAAAAAATTACAACTAGAGAAAGAGGGATTAGAGGCACAGATTCAAGCCCATAAGGAAAAGGCAGAAACTCAGATCAGAACAAAAGAAATGGAAAATGAGTCAAGAAGAGAAGCAGCAATAGAAAAAGAGAGAATTAAAGCAGAAGAGAACAAATTCAAAAAATATGCAGGAATAGTCCGAAATTATTGCAAGGAAGACAACATTGGACCTTATATAGCCAATTTCGAACTTAGTATGCACAAGCACACCATCCCATTGGA